GTCCTGGGTTCTCCGAGTCTCTAATCACCCTGGAAACCTAACAGAATTATGAGACGAGACAGGGCGAAATGACATCATGAAATGTCAGTTAGTAAACACATACATTTTTGAGAAAAGAAAATTGACCAACGATCAGTACAGTCTGTTTTTTTGCTTCCATGGTGAGAGTGCCTAAAGATAGTAGAATAAATAGCTTTAAAGATTTAAACTGACACTATCTCAATCCTTAGACCCTCGATACAGATATGTAGTATCTGTATGAAATGCTTTGTTAGAGCTCTTTAAGGAGCGGTCTGATAGCAAGATTTTATAGCACAACAGGTGAAATTAATTTGCAATTTTATTTGAAAGTACACACCATGAGAAAATACTGTTATTAAATACTGATTCAGCAAACAACCTGGTAGATGATGAGCCATTGATAAATGGATCACGGATACAGGACTCAGGGTATTGTAAGTTAGAAGTGAACAGACTGGGGGGTACTACATTGATGAATCATGAGGTAACTCATGACTCATACTTAGTTTATGCAGTTTGCTGCTACGCTCACACGGCATACTCCTTTTACTGTAACTCCCAGTGTCAATCATGTCAAGGGATCAAGATTTGGTGCCAGCTGTCCTTGGAGATGCTGAGTATAAGTTAAAATCTCTGATCTGATGGTGGTGCAAGAGGAGAGGTCACAGGATCATAAAAGTCATCAGGATATGTCCTGACTGCACTAATCCATCCAATAATTGGTGAGATATTTCATTCTGGACCAAACTGGTGGACTGGCCATCTAACACACTGACTTTGCCATCTCTTGAGCTCTGAGGTAACCTTTAAGACATGTCAGCAATTTGTCATTTCAGGTATCTATATCTTTGTATTTTTATACACCTGCATAAGACATTTCACCTTTGTGTAGTATTTATCTAAACCTGCCAAGGGACTGCTTTAAAATAATTTGATTCATGTTTTGTACTTCCTGACAAATAACGAGAATTTAGTAAATCTATTCTTAACATTCCCGCACCAACTATTGTTGAAAGGCCCACAGATTACACATGATCAGACGACAATTCACACACACTAGTTTTCAAGCATAGACTATGTACCTCCGAGAACACTGAGGTCATCTACTGCTGCTTTACTGAAGGTTCCCAGCAACAGCTGTAGGATAATTGGGGATGCAGCCTTTGTCAGTTACGGCCCAAAGCTATGGAACACACGACCTATAGATATCAGAGAGGCCAGCTCACTAAGTATTTTTAAAAGAAAACTCAAAACTTATTTCTTCACTTTAGCCTTTAACTAGCTCTGAAATTTTCCATTTTGCACCACATTTATGCTCTGCTCAGCACTTCTTTTAAATGTCTGCCTATTTCATTTTAATTATTTTATTCATTCTTTTATCAAATTTTACATCCATGTTTTTAATGTTTTTCATTTCATATCAATGCTTTTAACAATGTTTTATGTTCATTTTACGTATTTTCTTTTCACATGAAGCGCTTTGTGCTACATTGCTTGTCAGAAATGTGCTATACAAATAAAGTTTATTATTATTATTAAGCCCTAGGTTGACAGTCACAAGCCTTTAGCCTTTTTATTGCACTAAGATGGATGGTGTTGTTTTTGGCTTTCTATCATATCTTAGGGCTCTAGCAGAAGCTACCTGATTCTGTCTGATCACTGACTTTGGCTCCTTCTAGCATAGTACAAGTTCCTCTGAATGTGCAGCCACTGCTGAAAAAAATTCTCTACAGTCTAACCATGTTTCTGCAAGCCTGTCATGGTTCCTGACGCTATTACAGATATGTGCTCCTCCCTATGACTTTATTGAATTGGTTGCCAGTTGTCTATTGTATACTGTATATGAACACTTATACAGAATGGAGTTGTTCCGTATCTTTTGGAAGCAGCGAGGTGTCACCATTTCCTCAAGATATGTCAGAGCACTGAATGGTAACAGCAGTTTCAGGCTACAGTGGCAACAAAATGCTTACTCTTAAAAGCTAGAAACTTCCAGGAGACCCAAGGCAGCCAGAGAGAGAGAATAGGAAGAGGAGCACAGTGCAAGTTCCACAGTTTCTTGACTGGCTCAAAGCCATGACAAAGAAAACGGGAGCCAAGACAAGGAGTCAACTCAAAGAATCAAGAACACTGTGAGGTGTGAAAGTCAGTTAATCAGTATTGATAGCATGAGTGCATGAGTGAAGGATGGTGTATGAAGTGTTGGGCGGTCAAGAAACAAAAAGATAAGGAGAAGATGAGGAGCGTGAAGCATCTGGAGCAAAGTTTCCCTCTGTGTCTCTCCTTTGTTCCCAACACCAACCTCCTTTGATGCCCTGTGTGCCACTATTCTTGCTGTTTAATATCTCCTTTCCCATGATCTTCCTTTATTAATTGGAGTCGGTGTGAGTACAAAGCCAGAAGTAGTAAAAGAATAAGGTGCTGACTGAAAATTAAGTTGTACAGATGAGTTTGAAGTTTGGATTTAAAGGCCTCAACTGAGTCAGACAGTCTGATGTCAGCAGGGAGGTTGCTCCAGGGGGAGGGGGCTTAATAGGAAAAGGCTCTGCATCTACAATGTCTCTCCTCTCAGCCCCAAAACCATAATCACACTGCATTGAAATAAAACAACTCCTGAATAAGCACATGATTTAGTTGGAATCCACGCAAAGACTCATTGTCACAGCTGGACCCAAAATGCAGCCAACACAGGGTAGACGGTGCAAAATGTTTATTAAGCAAAAGAGCTTCCACAACACTGGTGAAGAACAGGGAAACGCAGGGGAAGGACAGGGAAACACAAGAACTTAAACAACAGGCCAAAACACGAGGAACCACAGGGGATGACAACAGGCAACATGAACAGCTCGGGGACCAACCAGACATGAAAAGGCAACGTGAACAGATGAGGACAAACCCAGAGATCAACAGACGAACCGACGCAGACAAAGGGGAGCACAAAGACTATATAGACACAAGGGAGGCAAGGGTGATTGAACACAGGTGAAACACATTAGGGTGGGGCAGACAATCACCACACAGAGAAACAGGACTAAGACAGGAAGTAACATTGAGACACACAAGGAAACCAATTACAAAATAAAACAGGAAGGGACAAAAGTCAAAACAAACTAACAAAAAGTGTCTGCCATGGCAAACCATGACACTCATTGGTAAACTAACATCTAATGAGCCTTGTGAGGACAGCAATGTACACATTTTGAGCATTGAAGAGAAATGATCTGACAAACAGGAGGATACTGCAACTCCCCTTTAGTCATACCACAGCAAGTCCTACATCTTGACTGTCTACAACAGTTTATCCCTCTGTACATGACACTAATGACTCATGTATTGCTTGTAGTTACAGGCAGACACAAGTCAGGCAGGCTTTGAATGACGAGGACTGAGCTGTTAGTCTTATCATTGGAGTTTTTTAGTCAATGCATAACTTCTCATCCCCAGTGAAGAGAAGTTATGCAGTTATGTAGACTTTATGCAGAAATGTATTTGTTTAAACCACAGATAGTAGACCCACAGCCTCCAATTGATAAAGGAAGGTCATGGGAAAGGAAATATTAAACTGCAAGAATACTGGCAAACCAGGCATCAGAAGAGGTTGGTGTTGGGAGCAAAGGATCAGAAGGAGGAAACTGTCATTGATCAACTATGATGAGAAGTAGCACTAAAGGAAATTAAACATAACATTGAATTAGGGAATCTTCTGTGGAAGACAATATGGAAAAATACATAACTATATAAACTACTTGTGATTTATGTGAAGTGGTTGCTATAATTTCCATTTGGAATAGATAAATTACTCTAGTGATAGGTTCATTTAGTAATTTACAAAGTAAGTACAGTTAGTTCTTTTTTTTTACCTTTGTTTCATAGCTATAGTTACTACTTATTTTTTTACATACAAAACATATTAAGAGCTTATAAAATATGATGTTTCAATTTGCATAACACTGACCAACAGTATATATACAATTAGAGCTGAAACGATTAGTTGATTGATTCAGTAAATCTATCGACGGGAAATTAATAGTAATCATTCAGGTGTTTTTCCATTTAACATTACTAAACATATCACAGTTCAAGTTTATCAGTTGTGAGGATTTGGGATTTACTGATTTGTCCTTGTACGTATTTTCATTATGTTTTTTATTCAAGTTTATTTTGTCCAACAATAAAACAAGGAATGTGAAGTTGTCACTATGGGCTTTGGGTAATTGTCATGGGCATTCATCACTATTACAATAAATCAACCGATAATCGAGCAAATAATCAGCAGATTAATCAATAATGAAAATAATCATTAGTTGCAGCCTTATGTAAAATAATTAAAAATGATCTCCAACTCAGCCAGCTACAAAATTTAAATGTCTCTTACACTTGAATGCGCTGTCACTTGATAATTTCAGTCAGTGTTCCTAATTATACTTTAATTATTTTACTGAAGGATCATTTTCAGTGGAGGACTTTAAGTTAGTTACAAAATTAGTTAGTTGATTGGTAAGTTGGTCAGTTAGTTGGTTAGTTAGTGTGTCATGTACAAAGAAGTACCCAGCCCACATGGACTTACTAGAGAGAAAAAAAGTGTTGCAGTGGTGGACATAACTTCTTACATTACATTGTAAACAAAGAATGTTGTCTTCTATCCCATACCCTTCAAATAAAATTATCAACACAAAAGGTTTATCACCTCCAGAGACACAGCTCCAGTTTCTTATAGAAGAATTCGACTTAATACTGTAGCCCTTAGATAATCATATATTGGTCAATTCATATTAAATGGATTTTGTCTTCAGTCTCATCAAAATCACATAACAAACAAAGTCTCCCCTCTCCAACAACGACTTTTAGTTGTAATGTAATAGCCTATTTTATACTGTGTGGTATTGTTACTTTTATGTAAGTAATCTATCTATCCATCCGGTAGGTGTCGATAATGCACCCGTACACTGGTTTGCATCCGCCAATAAATCGAACGAAGAAGAAGACGAAGGAAACGACGTTGGGGTGCATGCAGCTGCTAATGCTGCTAGCTTGTGGACAGAGTAGGTAGGTGTAAAATTGAACTACAGGAGTTTGTTAAAGCAAGAGTGTCTAACTTTGATGAGACTCTGTGTTAGCGCCTCATGCGAGGAAGAAAAACGAGTTTTGTGGTTTTTATCGTGTCATAGTTTTTTTGGTCAGTGTTATCAGAGCAGTAGCAACGCGCTCTCACAAAACAAGTCTTTTAATACACTAAAACCGTAGTTATCCTTGTTTTCTGATGCTGTTAAACGCCTTTATAGCAGTGATGCAAGTTGACATTGTCGTGATAGGGTTGCATTAAGTTGTTGTTTTTATATTAACCTGTGCCTGAAGTCGAGTTCATCAGTTACATCAGTATGTGCACATAGAGATATTTACAACACAAAGCCCAATTAACAGTTCTATATCAGTCACTGCGATGTAATCAGATGCATAACTTCCTGTACAGAAAGATCATATGATTATAGTGATGTAGGTAATTAGTGTACATACCAAAGAAGGCTACAGCTTACTCGTCTTTTCAGGAGCATCTCTCTGTTTGTGGAATGATACATTACTCCATCTGTAATTGATAAATCAATTTGCAGAAAATACAAAAGGCTTGTTTGAGGGTCTAATTTAAACTTATTAGTTATCTGCGTTAATATATTCTAAATTGATGTGTTTAAAAATGTACTTTTTTGGTCCGGTAGGCATATTACCTAGTTAGTATTAATAATTTTTGTTTTCCTTTCACAAGTGTTGACAGAAAGACTCAGCATGGCGACACCTGTGTCTGTACTCCGCCTGCCCAAAGGACCCGACCCTAACAGCCGCGGATTTGACCCGAAATCACCACGTTTCATTGCTCTCTGTCGCACCTCCATCTCCACTTCAGCTGCCTCAGAAGACGACCCTGAGCAGCTGCAGAGAGAGCAGCATGCACGGTCTGTGCTGAGGGAGAGTTTTCTCCGGTGTCTGCTCTCTATGACCAACAAAAAGGTTGAATTTCATATGTATGAGAAGGTGAAGGTGGAGGCCACGTTTGGAGCGTCTGACATCGATGTGCTGAACTTTCAGGTGTCAGACTTGCACACTCCCATCGGGGTGCAGAAAGAGGCACTTATCAGGTGTCAGGATGTGATTTCATTTACTTTTAATGTATGAACACCTGAGGATTTTGTTTCCTGTCTAAACAGAACATGCCATTTTGGCATAAGAGGCACTCAAAAATCTCATTTGTTGTTTGCAAGTGGGATCTACTTTCTCATTCTGTGAGATTGTTTATAGAACCATATATTTTTGCAGATCGGAGTGGTTCTACATTGCTATTTATGTCCTCTCTGTATTGTTCATTAGATCATGCTGATGTGACTGAGCATTCAAAGATCCAACACCGACAAGCAGTCCCCCTTTTTCACCACAAGAGGGAGTCCTATGCCCATGTTTCAAGATAGACATCAAAACCTGACATGAGAGCACTAGGATTGGATGATGCTATTGAGAGTCAGATATTGGATGATTTTGACAAAGTGTTGACCAAAATACTGGTGATGTGGTGATATTTTGTTGAGGATTACTAGTGCTTTCAGAAGGCTGTAGAACCAAATGGTAATGCAGCTTTGAAGACCAGGAAATCAAACAATCAAAGCAAAATTTCTAAAAATGTCTAGCACTGTATCACAATTTATAAGTGTCTTCCATTTCTGCCATATACCATGAGGCAAAAAGGAACATTTAACTTTTTTTTTTGTAAACTATTTTTGTATTTGTCAATTTTGTATTTGGAAAAATGACTTTGTTTCAGTCATACTAGAGTTGTTTTTGCAAACACCTGGAAAGATGTATGCCTCATAAAGACTGATGTTGCTAAATTCTTGCTGGTGTAACTCTTGAGTTTTCAGTTCTATGCACTTCTTAGAGATAGTTATCCTCTTCTCTCATAGAGTGTGCACTGTCAACAGTATAACCAGTGTAGTGTCTGTATTCCATCAAACTCAGCCAGGTTCACATTAGAGTTGCGACGATTAGTTGGTTAATCAATTAGTCAATAGACAGAAAATTTGTTGGGCATTTTTTGCTTTAAAAGTCATTCAAACAATTGATGGTTCCCTTCCTTGTCTTACGTTATAATTGAATCACTTTGAGATTTGGACGAGTTGGGGGAAAAAAAGTGTGTTTATTTTCGTATTGGTTAGAAGATGAGCAGCAGGGTATTGCAGTGATGTGGAGACAGATTATCAGCTGAGGAAGTCGCGGTCATGCACCTGTGTCAGAAAGTCGCCCCTGTGCTGAAGGGCCCTTGAGGAAGACCTCGTGCTCCAGATTTGCCGCACTGTAGTTGACTATGACCTCTGACCTGCCTGCCAGTGGAGGGAAGCTAAAACAAAAGCTCTGTGATTGCAGCGTTAAAATAATAGTCATCTGACTGTTGCTGCAGTACCTCACTTACATACTTGAATTAATCCTGAATGTCTACATTTTCGTTTATCAGCCAAACTCAGGTTAACATAGCTACACATGGACACTCATTTGCTGTTTAGATCTTTCAGCTTTAATTTAAAACCATTATCAGGAGCAGGCTTGTTGCAATGTCATATAGAGGGGCAACGATTAGTCAGTTCACTAAATGCTTATCTGCAGCTATTTTTATAAAAAAATTAATTGTCATTTGTCAAGCAAAAATTAGATGGTTTTAGGTTGTTAAATGTGAGAAATATGTTTTTCTTGGTCAGTCATATAGTCGAGTGAAAATCTTTGTGTTTGCGACTGTTGGTCAGACAGAAGAACATTTGATGAGCTCTAGGATATTATGTTGGTAATTTTAAACAATTCTCCGATGTCTAGCAGGCCAAACGACTACTCTCGACAAGTTGCTGCCCTAAGGACATACATTTAAAGCTGTGGGTGTTTATGTTTTGACGTTGTATCTTTAGCACAGTCTAGGACTATGAAATATCTGCGTAATTGATGTGACTGTTTGATCAGCTGGCACCTGTACCTGCTCCTGATGATGGTTTTAATATAAAATCAAAAACCTAAGACTGCAACAATGCCTCTGTCTGTTGTTAGTGTAACTGCTCTGAAATGTTATGGATGTTAAAAATAACAGTGGATCTTTATGCATGCCGTATATTGACAATTAACTGAGCTTCTAAATAGCTTTCTGTAAAGTTGATTCTTGGCATTGAAAACATTAGTTTGACACAGAAATCTTAACTGAAGGTTCACATGGTTTAGAAGAAGCTAGAAAGTAAAACCTCAGTTAAGTTTTCTTTTTGTCAAATCTTGAGTAATCGCTACTACAATGTACTCTCTCACAACCAAACTGAAAGTATTGTTTGTGGTCATTTTCTGTTTCTTTGAAGGCGTTTTGCATCTTGCTGCATCTCTGTGGGTTTTTGGTGTTTCTTTGCGTCATTGTGCATCTCTTTGTGGTAGTTTTGCATGTTTGTTTGTTTGTTTTTTTATGGTTTTATGTCTTTGTGTAGCCATTTTGTGCCTGTTTGTGGTCATTTGACTGATCTTACAACAAGAAATGTTAAGGGAGTTTGAGGCCCAGCATCTCCAGTGACCCCTTTGGCCCCTGGGCCTGTGTCCAGTTGGCCCATTCACTAATCAATCAATGATAACAGAACTTAAGCCAACAATGGTGACAAATTCAATAATACTCTGACACAGCATAAAAATATGAATCGCACTCATAGGACATTTGGGCATCAAAACATTTTAAATGTCTTAATCTCTCCCTTTCTTGAACCAGTATCTTCCAAGGGATGTTTTCACTTACTTGGAAAGCAGACAAAGTGTCATGCTGAAGAAGAACAAAAACATTTACCATCATTCAAAAAGATGAAGATTATTGGACTATTGGAATACTGGACCATATTTCACACTGAAAAAGAAGTGTGACTTGAACAGCTCATCAAATGCACTATGTAGAAGCTGACAGGTTACCGTCTTCTGCTGTCCATCTGACATCTTAAACCTTGCTCAGAGTGGGAAAGTCATTACAAACTTGTACTACAAAGGCAGAACAGTAGGTAACTAAAGTTTATTTTAATGTAATGAAAAAATGTCAAGGTTGTGGAAGCATGTGAAATTTGGAGTTTAAATTAAGTCATAGTGTGAGGATTTAAGGTAGGACATGGTTTATGCTAATTTTGACAGGTAACTTTAATGCAAGAGTGCTAAAATGCTGCTGCCATTAATATTACATGCATTCCGTATTGCTCCGCTCTACGCGCAGGCTTCGGTATTGGTTTACCCCTCTGAGGCTCCTGTAGCCTTTTGGAATTCTCCAAGCAGCCTCCAAGCAGGAGTTAGACCGGGGTGCGTTCCACATTATGTGCAGGTGTTCACAGACGCATCCCTGTCGGTCTGGGTTGGGATGCTCGAACAGGCTATGGTAGGTGGCACATGGACAGAACCCATAGGTGATTGATGCCCCCACTCTGGGAGTGGATGCTTTGCTCATCCAGTATGGCCCTCTGGCCTGCTGTATGCCTTCCCACCTCCCCTGCCCTCCCATCTGGCTGATGGTGGTGCTTCTCCACAGGGTCAGGACGTAGTGGTTGACATCCTGGTTTGGATGTCCGTTGGGGAGCCATGGCCGTTTTCACATGCCCGATTCTGGGCAGTTGCCTTCTGGCCTGGAAGTTGAAAGGGAGAGACTGAATGGGCTGGGTCTACCAGGCAGTGTCATCTCCATGATTCAGAACACTTGGGCCCCCTCCATCTGCAGAGCTTATGGGGCACATAGGCGTGTGATTTCTTACTGGTGTGAGAGCAGGGGTTTTAGACCACATTCATGTCCTCTGCAGAGTGTCCTTGTATTTCTACAGGGCTTGGCTGAAGTTGGTCGCGCTGCATCTACTTTGAGGGTGTTCGCAACAGCGATTATGGCTGGCTGTGATTAGGGCTGCATTGGCTGAAAGGCAATGGGTTTGCAGAGAAAGATCCACCGTGGACCGTTTTGTTCCACAGTGGGACCTGGAGATGGTGTTGGATGGTTTTTCGGGCCCAAGCCGTTGGAGGTGGTGGGCCTGAATTTAGTGTCAATTAAGACTGCACTTTTGCTGGCTCTAACTTTGGTGAGGAGAACGGGGGACCTCTGTGTCTTCTCAGTGATCCTTTCTTGCATGTCTGTCAGCTGGGACAAGGGCGCAGCGGGGCAGCATCCTAACCCATCCTTTTCGATCAAAGTTTATTTTGCTGAGATTTAAAGGGAAACAAGGAGTGTATACGCTCATGGTGGTTATTGGTGGTACTATATAACTGAATTAATGTTTATTTGCATGCTAATGGATACTGGCTAATGGTGTGTGAGTAGGCTAATTGCTAACTACTCATCAAGTGGACTTCGGTGAATAGGTGTGATCAATGTTGAATATAAACTCATAATATGGTTTGTTCTGTTTTTAGGTAAAGACCAGAGGAATGGGTTCTTTTAAACTGTGTATCTTTACTTCTTATTTAAGTGAGGAGTGTGTGTTTTTGGTGTACAGTGAGCTGTATCTTATGCATTTAATGTAGCCACAGTGTTGCTAATTTTATAATAGAAAAAAGGGGGGCTCAGATGAGTTGTAGCTGTGGCAAAATGGTCTGTGAGATCCAATCTCCTGCTGGTGGTAGACTTCTGAAGATGATGGACCACCAGTGAAGTGGACTTTGAGGATGAGGAACTGCCGTTTAGCTTGAGACACTGGAGAGGAGCCTGACGGCTGCTTTGCATTCTCCTGGACAACTTGAGTATTTTGACCAAAATACACACATTCACAATCTCATTCAGTCAGATTTGACATTTTTTTATTTATTCCAAAGACAATTGCATGACCTTTTGTGTATTATTTGCTTCATGTTGGGGAGCATTTTGGTTTTCTAGTTGATGGACTGAAAAGAGACTAAATAAATAAACTTCAAAAATCTAATTCTTTAATAACCCATCTAACTATAGACTATTTAGCTCCAGAAATTTGCTGTGTAATGTCTGAACTGGTAAACACCAGAATGAACAATAAACTAATTTTATTGTTTTCAGTCACAGATCCAAAACGTTTTTGACTGGGATACTAACCTGAATGAAAGTAATAGGCCCTCAAATATACTGAGGTATCTCATGGAGCAGGTGTACATCAGACCATTATTCCTGAATGTTTAACATAACAGAGCCAACACCCAAGCCCACATCTGATGACAGCACAGATTTTAGTTATTTAAATTCTTGGTCATAAATATAATACAGAAGAGCAGGATTCATCATTGTTTAGCACCAGCCCCATGAGGAGGGGGGGGGGGGCATCAATACTATTTAATCTTCCTAAAAGGTGTATTTTGCGAGTTCCCAATAAGTCATTTTATTTGAGTGCCATTAGGCGGTCGGGCTGTGCCTGTGTCTCGTTTTGTACCTGAATTATCTGACCACTCAGTGTAGACAGTCATCAATGAAGCAGTGACTCATCCTCCCCCTCTCTCCCTCTCTCTCGCCCTCCCTAATCCGAAATATGACTTAAAACCTTGTATGACGTCACCGGGCCTGTGTGATTCAATCAGGAAGCCCTCAAGGACAACCAATGTTAATTTCATCTACACAGGCATGCTGTGCTATGATCAGCAGTCCTCAACTCCCTCAGTTCTCACTCTCACCTCTGTGATGAGAGTCCATAATGTCTGCAGGAATGCATCCAGTACACAGACATAGCCTGCATGTATTTCTGTTTTTTCCTACTTTGCTTTTACTTCACTCCATTTCTGAGGTGAACTACATTTACCTGATGGCTGTATAACTACTATTACTATCAACCAGCTGCATCATTGAAATGCTGCTCACATGATAATATATCAGATTAAGTTGAGAAAAAATGCCCATTTAGAA